TCGACTCCCCTTTGTGTGTGAAGACCCAGACCTTAACTACGAGGCTCACTGCACCTTCGTGAAGCCCTCACCTGTGGTTAGGTAGAGCACATGGAAGGTCTCCCCATGGCTGGCCTGCATGCGGTGGACGACCACTTTCTGGTAGTGATACTTGGAGTGGAACAACGGTGTCTTCAGTGGCCCTACAGGTTCCACCCTCTGCGCCACCTCGGGGTGACTATCAGCCACCTGGAAGGTCTCCGTGGGTATGGGCTGCTGATCTGGGAGGCACTGGAGGGAGAACAGGCCCAGTCAGCAGGCAGCTGGGGGGGTGAGGGGCTGGCCTGGGCCATGGCCACCACCACTGTCCACCACCATGCCCACCATCACTGTCCACCATCACTGCCTACCACCATGCCCACCACCATGCCCACCGCCACTGCCCACCTCACTGCCCACCTTGCCAGGCCGAGGGTTGGGAAGGCCTGAGTGGTAGCCCTTGAGTGAGGAGGTGCGGAAGACCTTGTCGATATCGCCGAGGGAATACACGCAGACGGCCGAGTAGTTCCTGCAGGGGCATGGAGACCATCTCAGCAGGGACCAGGGCCACCCATCCCCTGGCTGTGGCCAGCCTGGTGCCGCACAGGGCACCCCCATGCCTGCCGACTGCGCTGCCTGGCCCATGGCCTCCATGAGCCAGGACCATCCCTGGGGCCCAGTCTCTGGGCAGTCATCCCACCCCCTGGGAGGGGCAGAAAGGAGGGCAGAAGCTCAACCTAATTTCTGCTGCAATCTGAAACCACAGCCTAGTGTTCTTCCAGAGTCAGAGGCCACCTGCTACCTGACCCCAAGGCAGAGGACTGCCAGCACAGCTCCCTGGGCACAGGCCCCAGCACCCTCCAGCCCAAGGGGCTCCCCCTGCAGCAGTCACTGCGTAGGGTCTGAGCTTCTAGCACCCACCACCATCTTTCCCCACACCGACACCTGCCCGCCGTGTGTCGATGGTGGCTGAGTGTGAACTACGAGACCAGGCTGAGTCTGAGCGCGTGTGGCAGCGCCAGCACCCAGAGAAGCCCTGGCAGCCTTCCCCCGGGCCTGGCACCTGCTCTGCCCACACGGGAGGCAGGACGCATGGCACAGGTGCAGCGGGAGTATCTACGGTCCCATGTGCAGGACATGTGCACAACGGCACATGCACGCGCACTGACTGTCCCCTGCCCAGGCCCAGCCACAGCCCTGTCCCTGAGCGTGTAG